TTCCCCCCCCCCCACACACACACACACACTTCATACAGGAGTCCTTCCTAAGGTCCAGATGCAGGGGGACTAAAAGAGGATCTTCCTGGGACGATGCTGTTATTTATTCTGTACTATATACAAAATAAAAGAAATGGTTTGGCTTTAGACATATGTGAACCATGTCCCACCTCCATGTGCGTGTGCCAGCCTTTCTACTTTCTGATCTTCACCTTCACTTTGCAACTCTTCTCTTCTAAATGAATCTTCAAATCCATCACCGTAAAACCGAGCTTGTCAATGTCCTTAGCAATTCTGTTGTCACCTCCCACAGGATCAATGCTCTGATCACTGTACCAGCTGCACAAGCCTTAGAGGAAGGTTGGACTACTTCTTCAAGTCTTGATGTCATCAGTGCTCTCTACATACCGGAGTAATAGCATAGCGGTTGTGGTGTATAGAAAGACCTTGTAGCGGGTCCTGGGTGCTGTTCTAGCAGCTTAGTCAAGCTTTGTGTCCGATGTTTATCCAGTCTGCTGAATTGCACCACCAATGATGTACCATTCACCCAAGAAGTCATCAGCATTCCAAGAATATCGGTGTTGCTCATTTATTGCGGTCTTAATGGACAAAGTTTAAGGTCTCTTTTAAGTGGACGTAGTATGTTCTTGGAGTGCTGTTGTCATTACAAGCACCCATTGGCCACATTGCAGCTCCTAACATGAACTGTATCTGAGATTTTTTTGAAAAAGAATATTCTATGTACACTCAGGGTGCACTCTTCTCCCAAGCATTGCTTGTATACACCCCACACAATATTGATTATCATGAACCCATTGCTGGCCACTGAGGATTATATTGTCTGTGCAGGGAAAGGATTGCTGGTTCTGTCGGGGAACACTTGGTTCCAGCACCGTCGGCTTATTACTCCTGGCTTCCATTATGATGTTCTCAAACCGTACATTAAACTCATCTCCGAATCCACCAATGTCATGTTGGTATGTATAGAGCAATATAAGTTTGCTTTGATAAGATCATCTCACCTGCAGTATTATTCCATTCTTACAGGTTGTTCAGGCTGATTCTGCATATAGCTTAGCAGCGAGATCGAACTATTGTATCCCCCAAAAATATTTTGCTGTGTATTTTGGGAATGTAATGTTACAGAAGGAATTAGGGCCAGGATGGTAATTGCATTGTAGAGCACAGCAGGTTTGGGGAACCAGAGCATCAGAGCTATCATGTGGAGATGAGAGAAATAACTGAATGGAAGTCTTCTAGGCAGTGGCGTCGCTACAGGGGGGCAAGTG